TCTAGCAATATTAAAAAGATGCTGATGTTTCCTCTCAAACACACCATTTTGCTGTGGTGTTTCAACACAGCTCAACTGGTGAATGATGCCTTTAAAACGATAAAAGTCGTCCGTGTGAAATTCAGGGCCATTATCAGATCGAATAGTCTTCAAATTACAGTTAAAATGTGTCTTAATGAGATAGAAGAAGGATTGAATAAGTGATCTGGTCTGTAATTTATCACGCATAAGGTAAGTCCAGGTAGCTCGACTATGATCGTCTATTATCGTGAGAAAATATTTAGAGCCATCCAAGGAAGGAGATGAATAGGGACCCCAAATATCGCAATGAATGACATCAAATATGTGAGAAGCATGGGTCACACTGTTAAGAAAAGGCAATCAATGTTGTTCAGCCATAGGGCATATACTGCAATACAGATTTTCATCAACTGTAATATCAGGAATACTTTTGCGTAAGGTTAACAGCTTTGAATTTGGAGCATGTCCCAAACGACAATGCCAAATATTGATGTTTGATTTGATATCAACATTGTTTAGAGAATTACAGGCAAGGTAAAGTGCTTTATTACAGTTCAAAGGTGTCTTAGGAATACAATTGTGACTAAAGGAAATATCAGGGACACTAAAAGAAATATTAGGAACAATTGCTGTGGAAAGACGTGAGTTGTTATCTGAAGATTGAACATTAGAGTGATGGACAGATTGTTGGAAACAATACAATCCAGCCTCAAGTTTTCCCATCCCAATCATCTTCCATGTTGAAAGATCCTGTATAAAGCAATAATGCTGGATGAATAGGAGGAAACAATTGTGTTTAAGGATTAAGCTTCTGGCAGAAATCAAGTTGAAATTAAAGGATGGCATAACTAAAACATCTTTCAAGATTAAAGATTCAGATTATTTCATAGTCCCAATATGTGTTGCAGGAACATTTTTACCATTTGGTAGTCTTATAGATGCACTAATGGTAGCAGTCACAGTGGCTAAGTATTTAATAGAACATACCATATGCTATGAGGCTCCAGTGTCTTCAATCATGGAGTCATTAAGAAAAACACGATTACCTGAGAAAACAAATGCATCTGGCATAGATGATGAGGAAGGCGACACATCTTGAGACTGTTGGGAGTTTGGTGCTAACTGTCTTTGAAATTGTGGCACCAACATGGCTAAAAGTTGTTGACACTGACACTGCCTTGAGCTTGATCCACAACATTTGCAGTTAAAGACTTTTCTCTAGTAAATCTGTGACCAGGGGGATAACCTATCAACCTGTAGCACTTTCCTTTAAGATTTCCAAGTATCCCACAGTGACTACATAGAGGTTTTTCTCGTTTCTGTGCTTGATGTATAGGAAATGATCTATGGTTATTGAATGAGTTGTGCATTGCTTTTCCAGCAAAGGCAGTTGCATCAATGGTCTGTGACCTTTTTGCAGCAATCTCTCTTTGTCTTTCTTTTGGCAAAATCAATGCAAATACCTTATCTAAAGACGGTAATAGATCCATTAATAGAATCTGACTTCTGACACTAGAAAAATGCTCATCTAGCCCCATGAGAAATTGCATAATCTGATCTTCACGTCTATAATCAGAGTTATTGATCTCTGGCCTGTAATTATCAAATTCCTCCCAAATACCTTTGAACCGATTAAAGTAAAAATTAACTGAATTATTTCCTTGTGAAATTGAAGCAATTTGCTTCTTGAGTTGAGGACCATTAGCCTGACTATAGCGATCCCTCAGTTCGATCAAGATCTGTCTTGCAGAATCCTTATGCATCACACTAGGTTAAATCTCCTTTGGAATCAAGTTGATAATCCAGGAGGAGACCACATGATTACACCTCCTCTAAGCACCACAGAGAGGATCATTCTGAGTTGGTTTGATAATGGATCCTTCAATAAAACCTTCCTTCTTCTTGGCACTTAGTGCCATAATCACTGCACGGCTCCACGTCGCGTAGTTATCATCATTGAGCACAATTGATACTAGCTGCATTCCTGTGTTATCACTGTAATGAAGGTAGTACGGGTTGTTCGGATCACTCGTCAATTTATTGACGAGAGAAGTCGCATCTTCATCAATCGCATCTTCATCAATTGCATCTTCAAGGATCAACTCCAAATTCATTCTAAATCTCCGCCTGAACATTTGAATCCTTTGCCATTGTAGGAAGCTTCACTGCTCTGATACCATGATAAGTTGCAGCAAGAAGGATCTAGAAAATGGAGAAGGAGAAGAATTGGTGGGAAAATTTCTGCTATTATTTATTCATTTCAAACTAATGCATACGATACATATTTATACACAAAACCAGCTAGCCAACTAACACAACAGAATGGAAACTTGTACAATGACTTAAATACCCTCATACTAACAGCTTAAGATTGGGCAAAGGAACAACCTCAATGTCATGAATACATTGAGGGTTAGACAGTCCCCTGTAATGCTTACGTTGCATCCTATGGGATCGAACAAAACCTTTACGAACACTAAATGGAAAGGGTCGATCCCTTTCACGAGAATGCCCATTCATATAGCTCCGCGGCTGCATTTTACCCAGAGCATTCTCAAGCTTTTCCTTGAAAACCCACATCTAGATATTCTCCATATCATGTTGAACCAAAAAATGTTCCTATTGTTTTGCCTTCATTGGGCAAATCATCTATATCGTTTCAATTTTGACATCTGAGTCCTCATAAATGGCGTCATCGAAAATCAGTGTAAAAAGAAGCGGGAAAAAAAAAGGAAAAAATAACTCAAGTAGGCTCTAAGATGAGATTTTTGTTTTTCAACCTCGGTTTAGATCAACTACAAATTATACATATTTGATGAATAGGGAGTTGGATATTGATGCAAAAGGTTGACCGTAGAAGAATTATAAATAATTTAATTTATGGTTCTTGTTTTTCAAGCTCGGGCTTCGATCAACTTTGTATTCTTACCTTAACAAATTAATTTTACAAATTTGATGCATAAGGATAATGGATGTTAATGAAAATGCTTGAATGTATAAGAGTTATAAATGAGCTAAGATGTGATTATTTTTTTCAAGTTCATATATAGATTGACTCGGTAATCTGATATTGACAATAGCAATTAACGTTTTAACCAAAACTCAACCTATCGAAACGAACTAGTAAACGATTGGGTTCCATATTGCTCTTGATTATTGAATTGAAACGATGGGTACCTAACTTTGAAACCGATTTATAATTTTTATTTTATTTTTCAATTTATTCACCCCTACACAAGTCCGACCTACCAATTAACATGTTTGCATTGCCTGAGTTGGAAGTGTCCTAATCACTCTAGTTTGTATTCGCTGCCCAACCTACAAATCTTTCTTGAGGTACTACACATATAGATATGAGGGTGTTTGACACCAATTTTTATGGAAAAATAAATTTTAGAATAGTAAATTGATGGAGAATGTGTGGATGAAAAATAAAGAAATTTTTTTGATTTACGTGTAATATTATTTTAATGATGAATGTGTGGTTGAAAAAAAGAGAGAGAAAAATGCATTTTTCTCAAAATGAGAATCAAACATGGTCATAGCTAGCATTGAATCCATTATGCTAGATATTTGATGTTATTTGGTGGCATATTTGCATTGAATTAAGAAAGTGTTGAAATATATATTTTTGAGATATTGAATTTTAACTAATCTTACCAATAAGGAAAACACAACACGTAAAACTTAAAATTACAAAATATTGTATTCAAATTATAAATACACTTAGCTCCTGTTTGGTAGAAAATAAAATTAGATTTATAATGAAATACGTAATTGAAAAGTTACTGGACTTATAAAATATGTGGTTAAAATGAATTACTGACTTTAATTTAAATTTTAATTCATACATAATAAGGACTTAGCCCCGTTTATTTTCTATTATTTGCTCATTAAAATGAGAAAAATGATCGTTATTCATAGCATCAAGTCATCACATTTTACTTTTTATCTCTTATGTGGGGTTGTTTTAACGACTATAATTTTCATTCTTATTTTTACATTAATGTGTGCCAAAACGAAGCGAGTGTAATATTCCAATTTTTTAACACGAAATACTTGCTTTTCAAAACTTTGTTTATTTTAATGGGCCTATCAATTTTGACCCAGTCTATTACATATTAGTACACCCTCCACATTTGACTATTGACAAGGGCCCACACTTCAAATCAAACTGTTAAAGTTTGGTATCTTTCAGCACTGTACTTGGCATTTTGAATACGTTGGAATTACGTAAAGCATTTTTAAATACATTTTACAAAATAAATAAATGATAAATATATTAAAATTTTTTGAGAATCTTATAAAGGCCCGTTTGTTTCTCATTTATGTAAAAATAAGAATGAAAATTATAGATATTATGGACTCTACACAAAAGATAAAAATTCAAATATAGTGATTTGATGTGATGAATAACGATCATATTTTTCATTTTAATGAAAAAAGAAAGAGAAACAAACAGGGGCACAATATGCGAATGAAATAATATATGAGTAATAAGAATAAATAAAAAATAAATATGATCAAATTTATCAATTATAGTCCAACTTATATTCTTTTCTTTGACGTATTATACTGAGATTGCATCACTTTCCATATCGAGTCAGTTATTTAAAACATATTTCATAATTTTTCTTAAAAGACATCAACATTCAATATAAAATTACGAGAATGTCATCCTTAGATCCAATTTTTTGACTCAATTGCTTTTTTAATAAATAAAGAAAGAAAAAAAAATTAAAGTGTTTTGAACAAATTGCATTGCGTATGAAAATTCCTAGATGGGCAATAAAAAAATTAAATGGATCAAACAAAACGGCCAATATTTTCCTACTCACAAAGTGGCCATCCACCAACCCATCAATCGACGTGTCCCATTCTCATTCGTGTTCGATGTTTTCCATGTTAGATAAATTGTCACATATACCCTCGTTTAGATTGGAAAACGCACCTGTCATTTTCTTAAAAGGATGCACCAATGTCATTTCGCACAAATTGTGAAAAATGAAAAGAAAGTAGGACCAAATGCAATATTTTATAGCCTCCAAAGTAGATGCATGTGAGTGTACATTCAGCATAAAATCTGGAGGACCCAAAGAGCAGTACACATTTCATTGGTTTCAATTCAACAGAGTTTTCATTTTCTCAGAAATATACATTTCTCTCTTGTGTTGTCCTGTATTATTGGAATAGGAGCGATGGCAAATCTGAATGGGACGACCTCGGATCTGAGGACAAAATTCTTGGAGGTATACTCAGTTTTGAAATCTGAGCTGTTGAATGATTCAGCTTTTGAATGGACTGATAATTCTCGCCAATGGGTTGAACGGGTGAGTTATATTTTGTTTTGTAAAATTTTTTCGCCAGTACAAGAAAATTCTACTGAATACTTGCTTTATTTTGTTATCTAAATTGAATTTAAGTAATTAAATTATGGATTAAATTTTGTTTATTTAGATCTAATGTTTTTTAGAACTTTGCAAAATAGCTTAATTCTTTATATGCTATGCAATTATGGTTTGAGAATGATCCAAATAGAGAGGTAGAAAAATCATGAATTCCAACCCTTCTTGTTTTTAAGTAGAAAATAATATATAATATTGGTGTTTTATTTTATTTTTTATTGTAGGGATGCTAATCTTTTATGCAACATATTATGTCTCTAAAGTTGTAACACTTAATCTTGACAACTTTAATAGTGCTGTATGCATTAAAGCAATAATTTAATGCAATTCGCAAAATTTATCCCCACTTACAACAAGATTCCACTAATCTTCTTGAGATATTGAAAAGCTCTTCAATTTGTTCCTTTCTTAAGAGCTTGTTTGGGATTGATTTTGAAAAGTTTTGATCGTGAAGAGAAAAGTGTAGTCCACCTGTGAGAGAACAAGTCAAATATGACGGCTGGAATAGTAAAATAATGGTAAAAAAATCAATTTTTTGAGAGAAAAAATCACTCCCAAAGGGCTGTAAATCTGTTTGCCGTTCTCTCTTTTCTTTTCTTTACCTTTCATTTTGACCATTGCAGTACTTTATTTTTTGAAAAGTTTGCTAAACGAAATAGCTTAGAATAGAAGGAGATTCGTATTTTATACTAGTTTAGCTCTTTTTGCTTTGTTACTAACGAGCACTGTGGCCCTATTTAGAGTTCCACCTTCTTGACATGGATGTTGAAGATTCATTTACTCTTGAAGTAGAAATTGATACTCTAAATTCTTCCACCAAAATTTCTAAGATATTGACTAAAAGAATCTTACAGTCTTACTCCTTCCTACAATGTTCTAGATGAAATGAGTTTAAGACTTGAGACATTTTTTATCTTACAAAGCAACCTATTTTGGATAAACTTTGTGCTAAAAATGTGCATCGATTCTCTAACAAGTAAGGAGTATTTATGGCATCACAGTTTTTAGTTCGTGCACATATTGTATATTAATTCTAACTTAGACCTTGAAAGTGCTCCTAATATATATGTTCATAAACCTGTGATGATTTTGCTTGGACTAAAGAGTTAAAAATAACTTGATGACTAATGTTAATTGATGTTTTTGTGTGCAAGTATGTGAGTACGTGGAGGTTTGGTACTGGGGGTATGTAAATAGACGCGTGGCATGTCAAACTTCATAATTAAATGAACAGAGTTGCAACTTCTCTCGAATAATTACTAGAAAGTGACTGTATACACACACTATTCTTAGTTATGCATTTATTTTTCATCCTGATTTGATCTTTCCTATATCTGTGGCAGATGCTGGACTACAATGTTCCTGGAGGTCAGATACAATCCAGTTACTTATTTGAAGAGCTTGATATTTTGTAAAGAAGCATCCCGTGCTAATATTGCCAGGATGAATTGTGATTTTCAGGGAAATTAAACAGAGGCCTGTCTGTTATTGATAGCTACAAGCTGCTAAAAGAAGGAAAAGAGCTAACTGAGGAGGAAATCTTTCTTGCTAGTGCTCTTGGCTGGTGTATTGAATGGGTATGTTGAACACAATTTATGATGCCGTGTTCTTAGTTTCACATTTGTTTGCAATTGCATGTTTTCATGCAGAAAATTCTCATATTTATATGTTGATGAAATTTGCAGCTTCAGGCATATTTTCTCGTCCTAGATGATATTATGGACAATTCTCACACTCGTCGTGGTCAACCATGTTGGTTCCGGGTTCCCAAGGTTTTTGCAAAACTATTTTGATCTCTTGTTAGTACGGTCCACTGTTTTGTCTCCAGCAAGGCATTATCTTGTTAAATTTTATGTTTTAGGTTGGTATGATTGCTGCAAATGATGGGATTATACTTCGTAATCACATTCCAAGAATTCTCAAGAAACACTTCAGAGATAAGCCTTACTATGTGGATCTATTGGATTTGTTCAATGAGGTAACTGACTAGTGAGGACTTCATTTGATCATGTTTCTTTTTAAGATGTTCTGAATTTAATTCTTGTTCTGCTTGTAGGTTGAGTTCCAGACTGCTTCGGGACAGATGATAGATTTGATTACTACCATTGAAGGAGAAAAAGATCTGTCAAAATACTCGTTATCCCTGTGAGTCTAATATTTTCTAGAATTATTTGACATTAGCATTGTGCAATATATCTGACAGACCAAATTTGGGCGTTAACTATATTTCCTTCTTGGTATGAAGAATTATATGCACCAATAAAGACCTGTACAAATCTTGTATATTTAGTGCATGTTTTATGCAGCACAGGACAACGGGATGAAGAATTATACGTGTAGGCATGGTGTACATTTAGATGTTTTGTGCAGCACTAGATGTTGAATAAAGATTTATACATATCACTGGAGACCTAGTCGAATGGTGCACGTTTAGTGCATATTCGGTGCAAGATTTTAACTCTTTTTTTTTTACTCAATACTGTCTAGTGCTATCCAATCCTTCCTGCCAAACATACCGTACTGTCTTCAAAAACGTCATAAAAAATCTGTGTTTGTGCTGATTTTGTTACGTATGCTGTTTCACACAAGGTTTTTCATTTTAGGACTCTCATAGATCTTATTTAATGGCACTTATTTTGACATGTAAGTGGTAATGTCAGCATTTCAATGGATCTCAGACCTGGAATGCATCACTTAGTTTCTCGATTTTCTTTTTGCAATTAATAAATTGAATGCGTTCAATCTTATGCAGTCACCGGCGCATTGTTCAGTATAAAACTGCTTACTACTCATTCTACATTCCGGTGAGTAAGGAACTTATTAGGATCCATTTCTTAAAATGGAAATGAAATTATAGTTATTGACTAGTTCAAATTTTATGTTGCCTTTATGTCCGCAGGTGGCCTGCGCATTGCTCATGGCTAATGAGAACTTGGACAACCATATAGATGTGAAAAACATACTTATCGACATGGGAATTTACTTTCAAGTGCAGGTGAGTTTTTCCGGTATAAGTAGATTCATAATTAGAAACTTACTAGCACGAGAATTTTTCAGTATCTCTGAGATTTATTTCCAAGCAGACTGTTTCTATTTTTTAATATAGCACGATATTGTTCATTAGTTATTATGTGTGGTGTGCATACAATAGATCATTTTTACGAGCAACTGTATCGGTTCATAACATGGTTTTTCTATCTATTAGGACGACTACTTGGATTGTTTTGGTGACCCTGAACGGATTGGGAAGGTGAGTTCATCTGTGCAATTTTTCCGTATTCAATATTTTCAACATTTTGTTTGCTGTTAGTTCTTACCTCATTCTTCTATTATCATCAGATTGGTACCGATATTGAAGATTTCAAATGTTCTTGGTTGGTTGTAAAAGCCTTGGAACTTTGCAACGAAGAGCAAAAGAAAATTTTATTTGTAAGAACAAAATTTTCCTGTATAGACACCATTTTATCGGTATCAGATAATAATATGTTCGATTACAATTTCTATTACAGGATCACTATGGAAAGGAAGATCCTGCTGATGTTGCCAAAATCAAGGCCCTCTATAACGAGCTCAATCTGCAGGGTGTGTTTGAGGAGTACGAAAGCAGGAGCTACGAGAAACTCACTACCTCTATTAAAGCTCACCCGAGCAAAGCTGTGCAGGCTGTGTTGAAGTCCTTCTTGGGCAAGATTTACAAGAGACAAAAGTAAGAGAAATACAGGAATGATATATATGCGGAGGAAGTTTGGATGGATCTGTACTTATGTTTTATTAGTTGGGGAAAAGATTTCCCCTCTGTGCACTGTTTTTATTTCAGATTATAACATCATGAAACTATCCTCAATTTTTCTACATGGATGTAGAATGATTGATTATGATTTTTGTTTTAAGAATCTTGGAATTGAGTTTCTAGGGATTTTTGATGAATGATCTTGTTTCCCTCATTGCACAAGTAGTTTCTTATTTTTCTCGTTTTCTTCTAATCTTCGAGATGATCATTAGCTCCGCCTAAAAGCGTATGTTTAGTAGGATAATTAGTGAGAGAGGAATAGAAATGAAAGTAAGGCCACACATCATGTAATTTTTGGACCACTTTAAAGGACGAATTCAAGCATTAAAATATTAAAATAAAGTCAATAAATATGAAAAAATAATTTTTATCTTACTTCTCATTAGTTATAGTACATTAAAAATAATATTAAAATAAAGAGGTTGAAATATCATACATTATTTTTTGAAGTGGTGTTCATAAATGTACGATCCTTTTAGCATAATAAATGTATACATATTTCTTGTAGAAGAATAATCTTTTTGAGAAATCATTAAGCCTTGTTTGACCCTCATTTTTTGAAATAAAAATTGGTGAATTAGTATTTTTTTGAAAAAATGAGTACGTGTAATATTATTTTATGAAAGATTGTGTGATTGAAAATAGAGAAGAGAAAAATGAAATGAAATTTAATGAGGGCAAATGAGGGATAAATCATCAAGAAACATTCATAGGTGTTGCCATTTATTTAACGAGGACTAAATGCAAATGGTCCAATATCGAAGAAAAATTAAATAAAACTGGAGCCATCAGTCACCTTTGACCATTTATGTCGTTTATTAGCCGATATGAACCATGACAAGAGGACGCGGGGGGATTGTTCATATATATCAGCCTGTCTGAAAGAGATATTTTACATAAAAAAAATTGATTTTTTGACCATTATTTCATTGTGATAGCCATAGTTTTTGACTTTTTCTTTTATAGGTGGACCCTACTTTTTTTTAACGGTCAAAAAATCAATTTTCAAAACCCCTCCCGAACAGGGCCTATACAAGAATGTGTTCTTGAAAATAAATTTTAAAAAAAATATTTTTTTTAGAAAATGAAGATCAAACATTTGATACAGCTTAAAATCCAATTAAAATCAATTTTTTTTACTGTTATTTCACTATTCCAACCGTCATTTTTGAATTCTTCTCTCACAGGTAGGATCCACTTTATCTCTAACGATAAAAAAATCAATTAACAAAATCCATGAAAAGTCAAGATTTTGATTTGATTATGATGTTAAATACTAAGGGTGTATTTGATTGACATGGAAAATATTACCTAAAAAGGAAAATATTTTCCATCTTTTGTAGAAAATAAAAACCACCTCTACCCAAGGAAAATATTTTCCTTAAAAACAAGGAAAATTAGGCATATTTTCAAAAGTTGGAAAATATTTTCCACGGAAAAAAATAGCAATCAAACACTCCAAGTGAAAAATTGGATGGAAAACTGATATTTTTCATGAAAAATAAATGTAATCAAACACACCCTAATTGATAAATAAATGATATTAATTAATTTAACAGTCTATATAAGACCCGATTTTTTATATTTAAATTATCATATACGTTAATTTTCCCTAAGCTAATTTTTTGGATGAGTCTCTCATATTCAATTGTAATTTGTTAATTCATATGGCATTTTTTAAAGATAACGTGTCATGTTGGCTTCTCTTCTCAATGACTTCACTTTTTGATAGGAGATTGTAAAGTCCAAAATTTTCATTTGCGATTTTTTATCTTTAGACGACATTCTTTAAAAATAAAATGTCATCCTCATCTGTATAATGTGTCACCTTGATATCGTCTTCACTTACGTTCTTGCCCTAAGTTTTAAAAGATTATAGAGAAACTATTGTTGTTCTATAACAAGAAAAAAGAAAGAAATTATTACAGCTAGGGATTATATATTTTCTTAAAAATAGTGCACTGTGAACATTCAACCAATCAGCAATTGATTAGTTATAAAAAAATGAAAAAAAAAGGGGGAGCCTCATTTTTTTGTCCAAAATGCCTTTTAGAATAGTATTTTGGTGAAAATATATAGTTAAAAAATAAGAAAAAATTTAAATTTGTGTGTAACATTATTTTATTGAAAAATGTGTGGTTAAAAATAAGATAGAAAAAATGAATTTTAATAATAATGGAGAACCAAACAAGGGTTAAAAAAACAAATATTTATTTATCAAAATTTCGTAATCCTAAATATATACAACATAGGATGAATGTTGCACTTTATACAGACAAAAGGCTATTAATCAAAAATAAGATTGGAATTGATGTTCTTCCATTATTCCTCTTAAATGCATTGGATCATTTTCTTTTCATTTGAGAAGGTAGAATATTTTTCTTTATTTGTACAAAGTGAAATTATAATCAGCCAGCCCCCAAAGAAAGAAATTTCTGATTAATGCAGTTAAAATATTTAAAACAATCATCAACTTGTTTAAGCAACCGATTATTAATCAATAAAAAGAGCATTTTTGTATGTTAATTAAGTCAATGAATCCAAAAACGCGCAGTTGCAGCGAAAAAAGGGCGCAGAAAAGTCTTTGCCTTTCTTCAAATGTTCCTACCACCGCACCACCCAACACCTCCTTCCCTTACCCATGAAAGAAACCGAGTTGATCCTATAGAAACCCATAAATTGAAATCCATTTTGTGGGTTGTAAAATATACTTGCTTTCTTGAAGTTCCATTTGGAGTCATCTTGTTGGTCTATTTAAATCATTCATTCATAGTCAGATCCCTTTTCTTTCCCTTGTTCCACTTATTTTCCTTTCATTTCCAGCTCAAAATTTGATTTTTCTTCTTCTTTTATTTTCCTTAGAAATTTGAGGAATTTTTAATTTTTTACTCCAAGATTCAAACTTCAAGATCTTTTTATTTCCCTTTATCCTAATTATATTTGTACTGTCTTGCAAAGATAGAGTTTTGAAAGTCAATTCTCATACTTCATATTCTTTCATAATTATCTGAACCTTCAAGATTTTTTCCAATCCTATTAACTACTTTTCAGTTCATTACATTTAATGCATCTCTTTCTTGTTCAAACATTTTATTCTAAAATTCAATATTTTTTGTTGTAAATTAACTTATCAAGACTGATCAGGGTTAATACTGTACTGATTCTTGCTTAATATGAAGCTTTTAGTGCGTGTGATTGAAGCAAAGAAAATACCAGCAATGGACCCAGATGGGTTCAGCGATCCATATGTGAAGCTGCAGTTGGGAAGGCAGAAGTTCAGGACTAAAGTTATAAAGAAGTGCTTGAACCCATCATGGTGTGAGGAATTTAATTTCAAAGTTGATGACTTGAAAGAAGAGATTGTAATTTCTGTATTTGATGAAGATAAGTACTTAATGGATGATTTTATTGGGCTTATCAAAGTTCCTGTTATACGAGTTATCGAAGCCAATGACAAATCCCTTGGCACTTCTTGGTACACATTGCAGCCTAGGAATAAGAAAGCCAAGAATAAGGATTGTGGTATGTTGATCACTTTAGCTAATTGGAAGTCAATGAGCTGTTCTTGTTATATGTTAGTCGTAGTATTTTATGATAATTAATGTTCATCAAATTAGTTTTGGATTTGCTTCTTTACATGTCATTTGACTTCAGTTGGGAACATTTAGACTTTAGCAACGTCCTTTATGGAAGAGTTGGAATCTTGAAAGTGAATTCTTCAACTATAAATATTTGCTTAGCACCAGTGGAGTTCTTCGAGAGTGTGCCTTTGCGTATGCGAGTGTGTGGATATATTTATATGTAGAGGGGAGAGAGAAGGGTGGAGATGTCTGAAATTGGTTGTTAGTTGATATATATGAGACCATTGTAAACATATGAATGCTTTTGTTTTCAACATTTGACACTTAGGTTAACGTGGAAATTTTAAAAAAATGGTCTGCTTAAAATGGATTTGGATGTTTGAAACATGTTTAGTTGAAAAAAATTAATTGTTTGACAAACAGTTATGAAGATTGAAGAATTGTGTCCTATGTTTCCAATTTGAATTTACAGTGCTGTACGTTTCCAGAAAGGTTACTTAAACTTAAGAAAATTTGAGCTCAATCATAAGCAGAGATGTGTGACATTTGAGTGATGTATCTAAGAATTTATCTCTTGCTTTATTGCTTGCTTACTTAAGATTTGATTGTATAGTGTCGTTTTGGGTGGGTTCAGATAAAGAGCATTCACAAAGTACACCGACTTTTGTTCTTGACTGGTTTGGTATTGTATACTGAAGTGTAATCAAATGACACAATTTGTTGTAATCAAATTGAATTCATCATTCTTAAGAACTGCATCCTTGAACTGTCGTTGTTGCTTCGGAAGTCTTGAATTACATCGTGATTTACTGATTAACATTTATTCTTGTATTCCACCAGGTGAAATTCTTCTCACCATATGTTTCTTGCAAAATAATTCATTGTTGGACTTGCTGTCCGGTGGAGATCCTATATCATCACCTAGGAAGTCTTTTGATATATCAATGGATTCCCCTTTGAGGTCTTCCCCATTGAGATCGTTCTCGCCAATGAGATCTGAAGAAGTTCCAACTTCTAAGGAGGAAAAGTCACACCCATCAACTGTCGCACGTCGAATTGCACAAATATTCAACAGAAATGTCGATACAACACCCACAAACTTAGTCGAACCACCTAATGTGACAGAATTATCAGAAAGTACAAACCCAGTTGGTTTGGGGACCAATTCTGAAGAGCAGTCTTTGTCAGGAAATTTTGAAGAAGTAATGAAAAGTTTGGAGACGAGAGAACAAGGAGGTGAAGTTCCGAATAATTTACCTGGAGGGATGGTTATAGACCAACTGTATGCAGTTGCACCATGTGAAATGAACTTGTTACTTTTTTCACCTGAGTCAGATTTTTTGAAGTCTCTAACGGACATGCAGGGATCCACTGATTTGGAAATTGGACCTTGGAAATCTGAAAATGGTGGCGAGAGCTTAAAAAGAGTGTTTACTTATACTAAGGCTGCAAGTAAACTGATTAAGGCTTTGAAAGCTATCGAGGAGCAAACATATTTGATTGCTGACGGGAAGGCCTATGCAGTTTTATCCAGTGTGAGCACTCCAGATGCTCCATATGGGAAATGTTTTAGGGTAGAAGTGCTTTACTGCATCACGCCTGGACCCGAGCAGGCCTCCGGAAACCAGTTGTCTCGACTGGAAGTTTCATGGCGTGTTAACTTTTTGCAGAGCACTATGATGAAAGGTATGATTGAAGGTGGAACACGACAAGGTATAAAGGAAAGCTTTGAGCAGTACTCAAATTTGTTATCTCAGAAAGTAAAACCAGTTGATGTCAAGGACATAGGTTCGGAGAGGGATCAACTTTTGGCATCTCTTCAGGTGGAGAGCCTGTCAGACTGGAAATTGGCTGTTCAGTATTTTGCTAATTTTACTGTAATTTCAACTTTTTTTATTGGGTTGTATATGGTCATGCATATCTGGCTGGCGACGCCTAGCACAATTCAGGGACTTGAGTTTGTTGGATTGGACTTGCCAGACTCGATTGGCGAATTGATTGTATGTGGAGTGTTGATTTTGCAAGGTAAACGGGTGTTAGAGTCGATCTCACGTTACTTGCAGGCTAGAGTGCAAAGAGGTAATCTAATATTTTTTCTAATTCAATTGTGTTTATTGCATCATTTTGATTTCTTTGTTCTCAGTATTTAGAAACTGTTAAGTGTTCACATTGAGTTAACATGGTTCAATTTTGTTTTGTTTATCACAGGCACTGATCATGGGATCAAAGCACAAGGGGATGGTTGGCTGCTAACTGTTGCCTTAATAGAAGGAATCAATTTGGCAGCCGTTGACGCAAGCGGGTTCTCTGATCCATATGTGTTGTTTACTTGCAATGGGAAAACGAAAACCAGCTCTATCAAGTTCCAGAAATCTGACCCTCACTGGAATGGTATTTCTGTTATCTTTTAAGAATTTTAATAACTTTATCTTTGATACCATTTCGCACGTTTGCTTCTTGATTGAACTATTAACATACTTTTATAAGTGGTTGGTTCATCACTGGTTTAATTTACTTCTTGGAAATGTGGTTCCTTGCAGAAATCTTCGAATTTGATGCAATGGACGAGCCTCCGTCAATGTTAGATGTGGAAGTTTTTGATTTTGATGGACCTTTTGCTGAAGCTATGTCTCTTGGACACACTGAAATCAATTTCTTGAAAAGTAATATATCTGACTTATCAGACGTCTGGATTCCGCTTCGAGGGAAGTTAGCTCAGGCATGCCAGTCGAAGTTGCATTTGAGAATCTTTTTAGATGATACCCGAGGTAGCAATGCTGTCAAAGAATATATAACTAAGATGGAGAAGGAGGTGGGAAAGAAGGTAAAGTTCCTGGTGTTCTGCCCAATTGAATTCATTTCGCAACTGGTTTACATTAGCTGGTTGTTTCATCACCTTTTTTTAGCTGTCTAATATGGTGAAATGAAAATTTGCAGATACGGTTGCGATCTCCCCTAACAAATTCATCTTTCCAGAAACTCTTTGGGCTTCCCCCAGAGGAATTTCTCATCAATGATTTTTCTTGTCACTTGAAGCGCAGAATGCCTCTCCAGGTACTTGGTTTTTAGAATATTTGTAGTTTTTCCTGGTCATTTAAGACTTCACACTGGTTATCTTTTCCTTCACTCAATGTCAGTCAAATTGGCTGAAACTGTAAAGACCTCTTCCTGTATTTACAAAAATTATGTAATAAACTCTTACAATTTGAGGATATTTTGCTTATTCTTGTTTATATTTCTAAGTTATATCTCAGTAACTGATTACTGCTCCATTGGCAGGGCCGTCTGTTTCTGTCAGCAAGAGTAATTGGATTTCATGCAGATTTATTTGGACACAAGGCAAAGTTTTTCTTTCTTTGGGAAGACATAGAAGACATTCAAGTCATTCCTCCTACTTTGTCGTCAATGGGTAGTCCAATCATCGTCGTGACTTTATGGCGAGGCAGAGGTTTTGATGCACGGCATGGAGCAAGAACACAGGACGAGGAAGGCAGGCTGAAGTTTCATTTCCACTCTTTTGTGTCTTTCAATGTGGCGCACAGGTATTTTCAGATGTAAATTAGTTGTGTTTCTACAAGATAACATAATTTGTAAATTTTATTTTATTTTCTATTTTTTTTCATTTCTATGGTATTTTTTTCTTGCCCTATAAATTCCCTTAGGTGTCATACCATCAGATACCGACGGTGATCTTATAAGATCTCCGACATTTTGGGTTTTCATAATTTTCGGCCATACTATTACCCTTCTGTCATTTTTTTCTTTCTTAGAAGTGTGTACATTTTTCTGGCTATCATGCCTTGCTCCCTATTTCATCCAAAAAATCTGCTAACAGGGTCATCAATCTATCATTTCTTCACCGAAAAGCACTTAAAACATTCTGACAGTACTTCAGTCCAATCCACTGAAAAATTAGAGTAGCATTCTTATGAATAGCATAGCATTAGCTTTAAATTTCCTTGATATGTCAACACGCAATCTTTCAAATAGTACTGACATGAGACGTTTAATCTTTGAAATTCTTCATTTATATAGTATAAATTTAATTTTATATTTGTTATTAATTTTTCTTGTTGAAATTTTTTATTTATGAGTACCTATTTGTTATTATAACTTTGGGTTAAAAATATGTAATATTTCTGAAGAAGAATGACTATGGTAGAATGTTGGTATCTGACACGTGTTAGGCACACTACACTAGTTAAAATGCCTGTGCAACACAACTTTTTATTGTGTTTTACTCTTTATTATTGTTGCTCTTTGGTAGCCTCGGCTGTCTGAGAGAAAATAAGTCTGGCCTTGGCATTAAATTGTCTTTTGGTTTCATGTATGTGTTGTGTTGTATAGAACAATCATGGCACTATGGAAGGCAAAGGCATTGACTCTTGAGCAAAAGGTACAAATAGTTGAAGAAGAATCTGAAGCCAATAGACTCGAAACATCTGAAGAGGAGTCCACAGCCGAAAACCTCCAAGGTCCTGGGCAACAACTTGAAGCTAATAGCCTCCAACCAATCTACGAAGAATCTGAAGCCAAAGGCCTTCAAACTGAGGAGAGTGGCTCCTTTTTGGGTATCAAGGATGTTAATATGTCTATGGTTTATTCCTCAATCCTCTCTGTTCCAGTAAGTATCATTCCCATCTTCTTCGCTTGACCCTATCTCTCTATCACAATTTCTATTCCTTTTGAATTTATTATTATTATTATTATTATTATTATTTTTGGATTGATTGCCTCACTATTTTTATCGCTTGCCATTTTCAGACTAGTTTCTTTATGGAGCTATTCAGAGGAAGCGAAATTGACCAAAGGGTCATGGAGAGAACCGGATGTCTCAATTATACTCCCAGCCCTTGGGAATCTGAAAAGCCTGATGTATATCAGAGGCAACTTTACTACAAATTTGAAAAGCGTATATCCCGCTATGGAGGAGAAGTAACTAGCACTCAGCAAAAGTCACATCTTCTGAGTAGAAATGGTTGGCTTATAGAAGAGGTCATGACACTCCAAGGGGTTCCACTGGGTGACTATTTCACTGTATGTACACTAGCACCTTTAGCACGCGTTATAATCCTGTGACGTGTATTTCTGGTCTTTATTCCTCATGCTATACAGGTCCTTTTGATATTACATTGCATTGTTTCCAAACATGTTTGAACATGTTACCTTTCTCTTGCATTTTAGTTAAGAAAGTTAACTTTTCTGCTCTTTTAGCTGACTGGCCAAATAAGTAACTTATTTCCAATTTTAGACTCATGGAAAAATTACTTGTTTTGTAACTTTATGTTGCTGACTAATATGCTGTGCTTATTTGCAGCTTCATTTGAGATATCAGGTTGAGGACCAACCTTCTAGATCAGTGGGATGTATTGTTCAGGTGTACTTTGGAATTGCATGGTTGAAATACACCCGACATCAGAAAAGGATCACTAAGAACATCACTTCAAATCTTCAACAGCGCCTAATGGTCATGTTCAGTTTACTAGAGAAGGAATATGTGTCGGGAGCTTAGATGATGAATCCGGACAATGTTGGTTTCTCTTCGGTGAATTCAACCGGGAAAAGATCCCAAGGCTTTCATAGATGATGGTCAAGATTACTCGTTGTTAGTACTCAGTGCATATTTGGTGTACTACCGAAGAGGATTGAACATTTATTCCTTAATATCGTCTAGTGTTATCCAATCCTTCCTACCAAATATGGCTGTAGGAAACTGTCTTACTGGTTTTATGTGGGTCTCCAAATAACGGTAATGTCAGTGTCAAATTACAGAATATGCTGCGAATTACATCTTTAGGAGAAATACAGTCGACTACTAGACGAGAAGACAGTCTTTCAAAAGTCTATTGCGAATGGGTCGCCAAGTGTATGTACATGTAGAAGAGAAATTGTTGGTGGGAAACTCGACAGAATTTTATTCATTTGACAGTCTCTGATCAAGGCCAGAGACAAGCCTAATTCTGGTTGGATATTGTTTTCAAATGTTTTTTAACAGATCATAGAAGGAATAATATTAATACACATGTAATCTTTTTGTAGGTATATTATTGTAGTGCCTGAGATATTGGTGCAAAAATTTCCAGTGCTAGAATGGAATTTGAGTCCAACATAGGTGGCTGCAACTTCAATGTAATTTTAACATTCATGTTTTAGAGAAATTGTCGAAAATTAAGCCTATGTTTGGAATTCTGCTTATTATTGTGGTTACTGAATTCTTGCAGAGACTCTCCTCCTCATTTTTTCCTTTTGTTTGTTGAAGAAGTGTGAAAAATTGATTTCCTAATACCTCGGATCGACAAAATTATATGCACAGAAGCTGATTTTTCTTCTTCTTGAGCGATCTTCACAGAAGTTTTTTATTTTATTTATTTATTTATTTATTTTTTTTTTCCAAAGAAGCACAATTTCCACGTACAAATATTTAAAAAGAATAATTATTTATGACATAATTTTATACCATTCAATATTTTAGAAGAATATTTTGTCGGTCCTGAAGAAAATTTCTATACAAATATTTTGAAAAGTACTGTGTTAATGCTTCTGAGAAAGTATTTCTTTAAATCATTAATGTTTAAAAATATGACGTTCATGTAAAAACATGATCTTTACCATGTTAATGCTTCTGAAAAAATATTACTTTAAACTATTAATGTTTAAAAATATAACATTGTTCATGTAAAAATACAATCTTGTGAATTAACGCTAGTGAGCTTACATCTCAAAATTATTTTTAATGATTATTAGTTTGGATGAAGCTAGAAAATTTTGCTGCACATCATTTAATACAATTGATTGTCATGTGTCCTCAATCACTTATTAAATAATTATTATTGAGAATAAAGATGATTCTCACATGATCGTTGAAGAAAATTGTACTTAAGTTAGTAAGAATAATTAGACATATAAAACGATTATTTATACTTGTACCTAATTATCAAATTTCGGGCTGAGATAAAATATATAAACTCAATTTTTGTAATTTTATATATTATAAGAATTTAGTCTTTGCCTTTAGTAAAATGATTAGTAAAGACTAATAATTAAATTAGATGATCTAAGGTCGATTGTATATGATCTAATTATTAGAGTTTGAATAATATATGTCTGATTAGGTCACTGTGGTAGCTCTATAAAGTATTGAGACTTAATTACAATAATTATAATAGCTTTGAGTTTAATTATAATTACAATAAAATTTTTGTACCTAGTTGTAATTGCTATAAAAATTGTAAACTTGATTTTAATTATAATTGAAATTCCAGGATTACAGTATACTAATTGGATGTAGAATTTAATTAAAACTTCTAATTGAAATTGGAATTATTATTGTACATGAATTGAAACATCTTTATCCCTATAAATAAAGAATAGATGGACATGGAAATTTTAGAACAAAATATATAATTCCATTTTGTTCATAGAGAAAAAGGAGAGAATTTTCTTCTTACTTCATTCGACTGTGTAGTTCAAGAGGGTATCCACCCATTAATGTAGTCTTGACTTTAGTAGAATAAAAGATTTGAAAGTTTGAAACATCAAATTCTCGCAATTAAAAGCCGAAACCTCGTAATCCAAAAAGTTGAAAGTGTGTGATTTGAAATTAATTCAAGAATTGATAATCAAGGTAAAAAAATCGAATATTTTATTTTTGATATAACATACACATGATCATTTAGATGATTTTATTTATTAAATTAAAGAAATTTTTAATTTTCGAATAATTTTATTTTCGCATTCCAACAATTTCACCATTTTTATTAATATTTGCTGAAAATTTAATTTTAATTCCTCCCGTCGTCGGCAACCAAGGCAGCCGATAAGTCTCCGCCCTGTCACTATCTGGGTTTCCGTACTGGCCGCAGTAGTCTTATTCATAATCAATCTCTATCATCTGATGTCTGCTTTATTTCTTAAATTACAAGTAAAAACCACAAAAACTCTCCATTACCACTATTTCACAAGAACCAGCAGTTCAAAATTTGTCTTTTTTTAATCCGAGAAAACAAAATGTTAAAGCTTAATCCCAGCTCCTGCATCTCTCTGTTATCTTCTCGTTCCCACATTCCCATTTTTGCCTAAAAGGTACGCCCCTTGCCATTTTTTCTTCTTTAACCAGTATTGTTTACATGTATATAAAATGTTGAATTTTGTTTTTAGGGCGATTTTAAAACCCGAGAAATTGAGATTTTGGCGAAGTTTGTTGAACGGATCCAGGGTTTTCACTTTCCCATTCAATTTACCAATGCACATTGGTTCTTGTGTTTTCTAGTTCCTTGTCATAATTTATATGCATCAAATCGTGTTTTTTTATATTAATTCAGAAAAATAAGCGATCTTTAGGTTGATTTTGCATGGGATTGTCTCATGCTTATTCAAAATCCTGTTTTTGCAGATTCATTCTTTCATTCTTTACTGATATGTTTAGATTGAAGTTTCTTATAACTCAATTGTCCTGTAATTTTTGTTGAAAATAGAACAGAAATTTTGCCTTTTTTTCTTTGTAAGTAAAGTGCAATGGAGAAAAAATTTATCTCTAGAAAGGGTTATGCTTCCCAGTGCCCTGGTTTGGATTCATTCGTCTTCTTCCGATTTTAATTGATTTTCATCGTGTTTGTCAGTTTGTGTGGCAATATGCAGATTGACATTTTATGGAAAGATGAAATCTTTATGTAATTTACAGCTTTATGTTGAACAGACTTTTATATGTGTTTCTTCCACTAGCACGTGGTTACAAGTATTTCAATCTGTCAACAATTTAACTTCGCTTGAAATGATTCATTTTGGATTTCAGTGTCATCCATGCTGTACTGCTGCAATGAGATCTACATTTAGGTCCTCTTACTTGTGCTATCACTGCCGTCGTCTAAAAGTGAATCTTCCATGGATTTTTAAGATTTGAATTGCATTCGTAGAGATTCTTTTGGTAATTACGCGTGTGGTAATACTTGAATGGTCAAAATAATGGTTTTCTGAAATTGCAGTCCTCATAATAAATAATGATGGCTCCACTATTTCAAATTATTCCCACCTGTATGTAAACAATGTCTTACTTGGTTGTATAAATTGCATCAGAGCACTCTGTTGTTCCTGGTTTTCTTAAAATGCAAGTCCTACTCGGGAAACTGTGAGCCCCGATCAACATATTTTGGACAATAAGATGCTATGGAATCATGAGCCTTAGTCAAATTATAAATGCACAAGAAATATACTTCAATGTCTTTAGTTCTTTTATTGTTCTCTTTGTCTTTTTTGCCGCAATAACTTTGTCGTTTACTATGATATGGCTGCTGAACAATGATATACTGATATTTCAATTATTGCAGTTGTTGAATTGGCAACAGCATATAGACACTAAACCCTAATCTTATTTGAAACGAAATCTTTCTGTTCTCTATTCCAGTTTTTGCCTTTATTTTGTATTTTAGAGGACAAGTAACAATACCCATTTACAAAACTTGATGACAAGCTAAAGGTCTCCAAGGAAAATTCTTATGTATATCAAAACATATCAATTCAATTATATAGCACACTACGATATCAAACAACTTACGGAGGAAACACATGTAAGAAACATTAGTTAAGTCATTATAGACTATTGTGAAGATGTGTTTTAGAACATCAGCCTCTAGCGTGAAGGTAAACAATTGTGTTAATGTACACTGCATAACTTTTATGCACCTATTTCTTTGAAATTGTGATTTTTATTTCAAGGCCTGTTAAATAATTTTGGAAACAAATACAGTTTATGACCAATTTTTCTTTACTTCTTTCAGAATATGGAGAGACATCATATGAATTAATGGGTCGAGATACAAGCTATATTTCTATATAATGCTTATTACACCAACATGTTAAGTATCAACAATCAATTCCAATGAACTAAACAAGTTGTACGAGTAATTCTGTAGGACATCATGATCTTTCTAACACTATGCAATCAATTACTGTTGATTGAGCTGGAGGAATAAATGAAGTAAACGTAAAAACCAAACATAACTAAACCAATTTACCACGTCTATGTGTTCTTTTAGGTTCTTTGGCTATTCATTTATTTCACGCATGCCAGTCTGGACGAGGCAAAAGCTCCAAAGTTGGTTTGAGTTATTCACTGACAGTAATTCTGCTTATACAGGATGTAAACGGTTTCAATTTTATTGTCATACAGGCCTGGATTGTTATGATTTCTGGAAAAGATCATGGTACAGTGCCTAGAAGGAGTGAAGCTTCTGCTTTCTGCAGTTATGAACTTCTGTGATTCTGAAACGTATAAGCAACCTAATTGCTTGGGACATGCTGAAGCTCTTGCAAGGGAGACTGTATGTATGTCATTATGCTTTCTTTCTTGGACACTTCAAATTTTTGTAGTAGTTTGAAGCAACATTCACACTACTGCCTTGATTTCATATTTCTGTTCTTTCAAAGATGGTGTGGCGTTTTATTGGAATAAGTTAAGAGATGTTTAACATAATGAATGGGTTTGGTGACTTGATGCTATTGAACGCCTTGAGTCATTTAATTCTTCCATTGGAAATTTGGTAAGAATGAGCAAATATGCTCAGGAAGATCTAAAGGATCAAATGAATGATATAAGAATAGATATTTAAGAAGATCCTATTTAAAAATTTTTAATGAAAATATTCTTAGTACCTGTTTAATCATTTATTTTGTGTGTGGAGGTTGAGCTGCCGGAAACCCGGGGGAGGGGGGGTGTGTAGAATGAAATTTAAGCTGAAGGGAGCAAATACCCTCAATTTGACATCTATATAAGAAAGAGTAATTTGTTACTTTCTGCTAATACCTATCCAATGGATTGCATCTCATTTCCGTCCTTACACTTTCTTAACTAAGCACATAAATGCCTGCTAATAACGAGTTTTTCTTCTTCCTCTTTGTTCATCCCTTTCCTGCAGTTAGTGTAAGTGATATAGAAGCACTGTATGAATTGTTTAAGAAGATCAGCAGTGCAGTGATTGATGACGGACTCATCAACAAGGTAACAGACTTTATATAAAATCGTTTTATCACAACATGAGAATATTTTTGCTTCTTGCATTCATATATCCATACTAAAGATTACTCTTTTCTGTTGTTTTTTTATTCATTTACTGAATCTTGATTTAATTCTTCTGTTTCTTTATATAATTTTTCGTCAGGAGGAGTTCCAGCTTGCACTTTTTAAGACAAACAAAAAGGAGAGCTTGTTTGCTGATCGGGTTAGTTTTCACGCATCAAGCATATCCATTTAGCCCATGTTTGGCCTCCATTCTTATCTCATTCTCATTCTCATTCCGTTTCTCTCTCTTATTTTCAACCACACAATCTTCCATAAAATAATATTACACACCTATCTAAAACTTTTAATTCTTTTTCAACCACACATTTTTCAAAAAAACACTATTCCATCCATTAAAATTAGCTAAGAATGGGGGCCAAACACCTGCTTATTGATATCACATCCTATGTCTACCATCATTGCCATTTGGCAGCAGTGTTTTCTACTTTTCGCCCAAAATATTGTGTAATCATACTAACTGTAGACACTTCCATGTTTGAATGTGTTCTCTTTTCTCATTGTGCCATTGAACTCTTTTGGAGAGTCTTGGGGGCTTCTGATAAATCTCAAAAGCTGATCAATGAAATGAGTACTAAAATGTTTTAAGTTGCTGTAAAATTTAGATGATGGTGTTAAGTGCTGTTAATTGAGTTTACCCTGTCAATTAAATTTGAAAATAATGTGAAGGTAGAGTCAAGTACAATAAATTTTACAATTTTGTCCTTTCCTTAAAGTTGCACCTGAGTATCTGTACAGCCAATTATATATCAAAATTACTACATTAAAAGTAATGCAAGCCATGAATGCCTTGAGAGATAACTTGCTATCATTCAAAATTTCAAAGAGTAATGCAGATACTGTTTGAGATCCTTGAGTTTGTAAGATACATACATGAAAGAAGTTAGAAGATAATATTTTTTGCTCGAGCATTTATAGTTTGTATATTTTCCTTTTCTATTCCTTCCTCTCTGCAACTTCAAATTTGTGCCATTTTTATGCAGACAGCAATCTCATTTTTCTATAAAAAGCATAAATTTAATCATCACCTAATTCTTTTCAGTTTTCAGGCCTTAATAGGATTATTAAACACCACCATAGGATCTGTCAGATGTTCACTGTTTTTTATTGTAACTCTGCACAGTTGCTCTCATTTCTGTTTGAATTTATTGTCTATTTACCAACTAAGCATGAAACTTCTTTGGATTTGTTTCCCTTGCTAATTACTTTTCTTTCGTTATTTAGAAAAGCTTCTTTTATTGCTCTGACTATATGATTTGTTTATTTTCCCAGGTGTTTGACTTGTTTGATACAAAGCACAATGGTCTATTAGACTTTGACCAGTTTGCATGCGCTCTCTCAGTTTTTCACCTAAATGCTTTAATTGACAATAAGATTGATTGTAACAATCATCCTTTTATTGTCATTGTTTTTCCTTTTTCTCCATATTATTATGGTTTTACTTTTCTGTTTTCTGAAACATTTTTTCTTGAAAGATGTTTGTTCATAACAATAGAATTAGGGATATCATCATTTGATACTACTTTATGTGATTAATTATTCTCCAGTTGCTTCTGTATTTCTAACTTGTAATTAGTGATACTGATTTTGCTTTGTGCTGGTGATACCAAAACATTCCTTCTACAGTTTCATTCCAGTTATATGAACTCAAACAGCAAGGATACATTGGAAGACAGGAGGTAATTTTTTTTTTTTTTTCCGTATCAATATAATTTTACATATAGCATAATTTTTCTCTTAGAGTGCTTTTTCATGGAAAATGTCATTTTTCCACCCAAATTCCTACTTTTGTTCTATTTTTTTCCATGGAAAATATTTTCCTAATTTTGGTCATGCGTTTTCAAAGAATATATATATATATATATATATATATTTTAGGAAGTTAATTTAAGTTCTTTTTGGGAACATTGCTCCTTGTTTTAAATTGCCTTACTACTTGATCTTGCATATTTGGGCCCTATAAGTTTGTATTGACCAATCTGCATGAACATTTCTATGGGACAATGTGCCCAAAATGTTGGGCATCAGACGTTCCACATCTGACGTGTAAATTTCAGAAAACCAACTAAAAATGAAACCTGTTGGACATGTGTATTCGACACTATTGCACTTTATTCTTTATGGAAGACTATGTACATAGTGTACTGTCATCTTTGATATATTATTAATTTCCAATAATTAAATGTTCTATGCTCTAATATGATATAAGCCCTTGTTTGGTACCCATTTTTCTCAAAATACATTTTTCTCTCTCTAATTTTTAACCATACACTCTTCAATAAAATAATATTACACGGAAAACTAAAACTTTTCTTTATTTTTTAACCACACATTTTTCAACTACCACTATTAAAAAATGCATTTTTACCATGAAAATGAGAAACAAACATGCTCTAAATTTATCCATACGTTTTTATTTGTGTATCCGGGCACTGTTATCTTATAATTTTGGAATTTCCAAATCACCATGTCGTTGTCTATGTGTTATGAGTATCACCCCTCATAATTTCAAAAAAAGCCATCTATTAGAATTTGTTCAGTTTCGTTCATGTTTTGGTTCAAACTTCTAATCATCTCACATTCTTCGAGCTTGTGTACGAATGATTTTGATCTTTCCTGTGTCATTGTAGGTAAAGCAAATGGTAGTGGCCACACTTGCTGAATCTGGCATGAATCTTTCGAATGATGTGATAGAATGCATCATTGAAAAGGTAAGTTCTTGGGACAGTTGATTCCATTCACAGTTATTATCTGTTGAGTTTGTGTGAGATGATGGATTTGTGGGGTTTAAAGAAGACACATTTTAAAAAATTATTATCTTCATGAAATGGTTGAGGTTGCACCTATTGCCTATTCGAATTGAGAGAACAGGTTAAAATTTTTGGAACTTTGGGAAACTTTGGACACACTCTAAGGTCATTAATTGCATTGCTTAGAGAAGTAATGGGATCACTATTGGTTGTATTTTGTAAAGGAAAAGCAAAAATTGAGATTACATGGAATAACATGATTGAGCAAGGGTTTGAATTCGTCTTTAACTTTTGAAATGGGCCCTGATGTAGCCGCGTAGAAACAGAAGACCTGCTGATATAAGACACGTGTGGACTCAACCTTTGTGTTGAGTTGTACAGTTGATAAAGTTTATGATTTTATATTTATTTTCAATTTTCGTGAGTGTTTTATAAGTGAATATGAACTTTGCTGTTTACGCTATGGAGGCAATTTTGCCCTGTTTTAGTAGATGATGAGATCTCTAGATCTATATATAAAAGTACACGATGCATGTAAATTTACCATGGGATCTCTCGCAATAAATATATCACGGTTCTGTTTCAGACCTTTGAGGAAGCTGACACTAAACATGACGGGAAGATTGACAAAGAAGAATGGTGGAGCCTAGTAATACAACATCAATCTCTCTTGAAGAACATGATCCTTAAATACCTCAAGTAAGTGTACTGTATCTTGTTGGTGCGATTTAAATTCAGTTCTGGTAGACAATAGACCATAAGCGTTTAGTGTCCAACCACTGGATGACCATTTTATTGATATTAATGATTATTTTATTTTTTGTTATTGAGATAGCTGCATTTTCTGGTTGCTAAGTCTGATTTATTTTTGATACAGAGACGTAACGACCACATTCCTGAGCTTTGTATTTTACTCACAAGTCGATGATACCTGAGTTCCGAGGCTTTCTCTGGTGAGACAACATGGCAATTCTGCGTGTAGACATTTACAAGGAAAGCGCTGGCCTGATCGGATGCAGAGAGGCTGTGTCGAATTCTTTATTCCTTACCTTGTTGGCAAATTTTTAGATTGCATATTTTCCTGTTCAAAATGTTGAACATTGTGTGTGTGTGTGTGTGTGTGTATATATGTTAGATTTCTTGCTTGAGTGGATGCTTCGGTTTGTTGTTATTGGTCTTATTTGAATCAGAAGGACGTCTGTCTTCAATTATATTCGAAATAAATTTGGATAATATGCAACTGAACTCGTACTGTTTTATAAAATATTAAGCTATCTGTTTTGGTGTAGATTTTTGGTAAATTTTGATAAAAATTGAGAAAATATATAGTTGGAAAGTTATGAAATCCATAAAATGTCGGATTGAAAATAAATTTTAGAAAATGAGGATAGAGACGGGTTAAATATATATTTTTCAAATGTAGTGGCGTCAGGAGTCATCTTATGCTACCTGGAGTTAAACTTATTTGATAGAAAGAAGTTAACACATTGTTTAATCTACACCCCCATGAGAGTTGGACTCATACGAGATCCATGTAATTAAAAAGGCCAAAAAAGTGCCCTCACCCATTGTGCACCCTCCCTGGCAGCATAGCAGCGTTCTTTTGCTCGAACGTCGTGGGACCCAAAAAGGTTGCATGGAAGACGGGGTTAAATGGTATGTCACTCAATTTTGGGCAGAGTTGTATCCGGGCCATGCATCTTCAATTTAGTGGAATTAATTGTCCTAATTTTGAGTGGAGTTGCATTTAGGTCTCTCATTTTTAATTTTGTGCAATCATATCATTCTACTTTCATTTTTTAGATCTGATCACTCGTATTTAAATTGGTACAATCAGGTCAACCAACTTCGAGTATTGATGGAAGACCTCATGCATATGTAGTACCAATTATTAGTATATTTCATAAGTAAAAAAATACCACAGGCGAGCTATGGGTATTTGCATTGCACTACCACTTTGTTTGTGTGCAACATCTTAAGAAAAACAACAAATGTCAACACATTTGTCTTGTGATTTTATGGAAGTAAATCCATCCCTTGAAAGAAATCATGGATTTTTAAAATAAGGAAAGATTTAAGATTTGACCATCAAGAATTAAATGTAGAGATTTATTTGCGTATAACACATATATTTATGACCCTTCACTTTAATTTTTCCAAAAAGAATAGTAATTTAACAGTTCCATGGCTACATATTTAGTCGAGCACATTTGTTGAGTCATCCATGCCTATTTTCCCATCTCCCACAATCTACTCAGTTCCTTTCTTCCGCAACTCTTGACCACCTGAGAACGCTGATGTGAATTGAAATAAAAAAAGCCGTCTGCTAGAATTTTTATTTTGAAACTACATACAACTTTCCATGCTTTCTGTAGGTAGTCACCAATTGCAACATTGACTTTTTCCCATTAAACCTAGGAGAATTATCAACAGGTTGGACTGTTTGTAAAGTACGACACAAATAACTATGGACTTTTTTCATTCCTCTCAATGTTCTAACATTTGATGATTATGTACATTCATGCGCGAATTGCATATCATAGTGATCCCGTTGTTCGCTTGCCACTCGTTGATTGGCTTCTCACTCTATCAAGGGTGTTGTATATCCATCCCTCGAAAGGAATGATGGATTGTTAAAGTAAGGAAAGACTTGAGAATTTGACCTTCAAGAATTAGATGTAGACATCTATTTGCCTATAACACATAAATTGAGGACCTCTACTTTAATTTGTCCTTAATTTTTCCAAAAAGAACATCATTTTCACCAGTGGGCTGTAACCCCTTAGTTCAATAAATTCTTCCTTTTTTTCCTCAATCTCCTAGTCTGCTGCTGCCACAGCCATCCAAGGGACATCAGATTCTCTCGGCAATTTGTAAGGTGATAAACAAAACCTTTCTCAATTTTCGTCACTTTTTTATATGCGGCTTTCTGAATATCGTGGACAAAATAGTAAATGAGCTAATTCTTTCCTTTTTGTTTTCTGGGGGTGTTGAAAAATTGCTAAAGATTGGTTAAGAATTTCAAAATATTTTATTTTTCCCAATTTAATTTTAACCACGTTTCAGTCTTAAGAATTTTTTAGTTTGTTGGTTATCACATGAGAAATTCTAATTCACATATGTATGAATGTGAATGCATGAGCATTTTGTGGCTCTACTGCAAAATTTTGATTTTGCGTTGGTGTTGTTTCAAATGAAGTTTTTAAGGTACTTCGTGACGATATGAGCGAAACGGGAGGACAAGGGTTTGGGAACTCCAAAGGCGGAAAATCTGCCCATAAATCGTCGGGTAAATTTTTGACTTTTTTAGTCAATTACCATTCGGACTTTTTATTTGTGATGTGTTCTTGCTTGCTTCGAGATTACTGGTCGTGGTCAGCTTGCACATTATTTTTTAAATTTTCTTAGAGAGCGTAAAAATTTTAATTTTCTTCGTTTTTTCAGACTAATATGTTTCTTGTTATTGGAAAATCACAGATATAAGACAATTGACGTTTCTTCTAATAGTTTGAAAAAAAAACATTGAAAAGCCCATGAAGACAAGAACAAAAATTTCTACAATATAATTTTGTGCTTTTTAGAAACCGGAAAAAAATATCAAGAAAAATAGTCTTATTCACTGCATGAATGCTGAGGTCTTCCAACTTGCGTAACACGCCCATTAGAATCCATGGTTGTCAATAGTCTGCACACAACATAACATCCTAAAGCCTTTCTCTTCCAACTAGGGGTGAGCGCGGGTCGGTTCGGTTCGGTTCGGTTTCAAAATTTTTGGGTATCTAGTAAATGGAACCGTCGGGTCCAAATATAATTATGGAACCGTTCGGTTTCGGTTCCGTTCGGTTCAATTCGGTTCAGTTTGGTACCGTTCGGTTCTGTACTATAATTAAATTTTTTAACATTTATAACAACATTATATAAATACAACTAATGATACATTCAATAGTTTTGGAATGCCACAGACTAGTAGGTTACCTTATTCAAATGATCGCTACAGTTAAGGTTTCGATCGGCGGAGGTCGCAGCTTCGATCAGAGGTCACAGCATCGGCCGACGATTGTATAGGTTTTGAAATGTCAGCGAGGTTGCGAGAGTGAGTGTGAGAGTCGAGACAACTTATGCACTTTTGTGTAGGTGCTTAGAGTTATTTAGTGGATTGGATCTTGTTGGACTAAGAAATGAAACAATAAAATGGGTAATGGGGCCAAAAATTGAAAAATTAGAAATGAAATAAATTATTGGGTCAAAAATTTGGATTTAGAAATTGTTAATTTGTTTAGAAAAAATTAAAATTAAAATAATTTGATTTACTCAATATAAAAAAAATTAGAAAGATTCGGTTCTTGATCTAGAACCGAGAACCGAACCGTACCCGTCGATTCTCAATTCAAATACCCGTTCGAGTATTTAATTTGACAAGAACCGTCGAGTTCAGTTCGGGAGATTTGCCCAACCCTACTTCCAACCCAGAGCAATGGAAACCAGAAATGCTCATTTCATTTGAAACATCTGATGTATCAATTTTATGAACCATAAGTGAAGCTAAACAAATGATGATGTCATCCAACTTACTAAATTTGTGAATCAGAAATCCACATTGTTGTCAACAATTTGCACAATATCCAATAGCTCATCTATCCCAAAACTGTGGCTCATTTCACATGCGATATATCACTTTCAAGGACTTTAGGTGAAGAATCTTCAACCCACCACAAAGCCTTCCTCTTCTATATTTCTCGTGTCATTCTGTTCGAGGTATCGATTTCAAGAATACGAAGCTAAATTACTTATCAATTCTTTCTCTTCCATATCAAAAGCGACGAAGTACATGGCAATTTAGAGTGACTATAAGTACCTTTTACATAAATCCCAATAAACCACATTCATGTATGTTCTTTTTTCGTTAGACATGTGACTCCTTAAATACATAAATATGTCATGTAAATACAATGTGCGATCAATATGAATCTAGAAAAATACTATGTATCTTATCTATGTGGCTTCCTTTTCTGAAAGAAGCGCACCTGAACATGATCTATAAATGTTAACTAATAAACTCATAATTAAAAAGGGTACTATAGAATAGTGTAAATATAGTTTGAGTAAAATCGTCCATAGTTAATTTTCATCTCATGGGTATTTTGGATTTTTTGAATTTGGATTGGATAAAATCGTTGATAAAATGATTTCATCTCTTGGAGCTTTTAATCTAATATATTATGTATATAGATAAGTTCTTGCTACTGTGCTTTGAATATTTGTTTGTGATATGTGGATATGAATTATCTCCATTTGATTGCTTGTTCTAGTAATTTTAATTAATAATATGAATGGACTGGAATTTCACCATGCAATGGCATTGGTTTAAGATCAATCACCTGCCTGGATGTGGAAATAGTTCCAGAAAATAAAGTAAATCTTTATGTCTCGTTGAATGAATCTATTTATGTTAATTTTTAGTTCCTTTTTCGCATTTATAGAGATTAGGAGAATGTTTCAACTTATTGTTGCTGGGTGGAAATGTGAAATTATGGTGCTAGTTGAAATATATATGTTTCTGCAACGATGTTGTGCAACCAGCAATTTATTTTTTCCTCTTACGTACTTAAATTTGAAACTTCTGTATTACAGGTTTTGTGCTTTGTTTTGATATCTTTTTTCTTTTTGTTCTATTATGTGTCACATCATTGAAGGGAAGGACAACGGCTCAGCAAAGTCAAAGGGAGGAAGAAAAGTTCAGTTTGAGTCGGGAGGTAGAATTTAATTTATAATTCTTACAGTTACTATGTATTTTAAGAAAAAAAATTTATGTTGTGATATGCTTTTTTTGTTCAATTTCTTGAGTATCTATTCTATTAATTGCTCTATCCATTGAACTGGTTATTTCAAATGCTGTTATAAGGCAATATTCCAAAATTTAATGTGAAGGTAGAGACTATCTGCCAAAGGTTTGATATCCAGTATCTTACCTTGTTTGCCTCATACCTCTTATGTTTTATATGCAACTTATCATTTTTCCACATGATTTGTTAAGTTTTCTTGGTGGATTTTATTTTGTAGAAAAGATTTTGCATTTTAGATTTTTTCTCATGCACAAATTATTTTTATTAAGGTTCCGGCGGAAAAGCAGGAAAAGAAGACAAGATTGCTAATGGCAGCAGGAGTCCCCAAGCAAAAGTACCTTCTCCTCTGGAGCGGAGACTTGAACAAGGTCAGTGCTTCCGGTGAACCAGTTGTCACCGTCCCTCTCTTGCTCTCTCAACTGTGTAAAAGTTGTTTGTGGGTTCCTAAGTGCATTGGAATAAATTTATTATGTTCACAGTAGAAAGAATATTGATGAGTAAGAATAGTGGTAAATACAAATTGAAAGTCACTGAATTATTTCATAAAATATTCGAGTTGTGTAGATAGTTTTTATCTAATGCACATGTTTGAAGGGAATGTTTTGTTTGCAAGATGAGGTGGGCCTTTATGTGAACTGTTTGGCAGATTTGGGCTTGTTTGTTTGTTGCAATAATTTGTTAAGTATATTTCATTTCAGGCTATAAATTTAGTCAATTTTTTTCTATTTTCAACTCTTGTAAAGAGATCTTGATGCACGTGCCTTCCAGAAAATAGTGAATTCTTGATGGACTGCGAAGCTGCAGAAATCTTGCAAGGAATCCAAGAGCAGATGGTTATGTTGTCTGAGGATCCGAATATAAAACTCCCAGTGTGAGTAGTGCAGATTTAGCTTTTAAAACTTCTTTGCTTTCCTTTCCCAACAAGTAAATTTTTCTTGTTTTATTCATTTGTTTTGTTTCCATTTTAATCATATGGATTTCGTTTAGTATGTTATATTGATCTAATGTTTGTTCATTATCAGTTCATTTGATAGCGGACTGTCGTATGCGAAGAGAGACAGCTACTGTTCGAAATCCCAGACTGTTAGAAAAATACTTCAGTATCCTTCTCTTTGATCAATGCTGAACTTTTTCTCTTGCACCTCTCTAGGAGTTATTCATATCAACGATTATGGTTAATTCCTACTCTATGTTCAACTTTTGTTTATCCATTAACATAAATTAGGCCTCTCCAGAAATATGGAGTTTCTAATGCTGAGGTATTGATCTCTGGAAGTTGATTTTTTTCACAGTATATCAGGCATGGTGCATTTAATATAATTTCTATGGTTGCAGATCTGCCAAATTGCCAACCTTCGTGCCGAATCTGTTGAAGAAGTTTTTGCTCTTATCCCGTCCCTGAAGGTATAGCATACGTGAGAAGACACAGATGTTTGATTGCGTTACTCTAGTTGCTTCAAGTTATTGTTATGCTGACATGCTTATAGTTTTGTTGATGCTCATGACAATTAAGTTTATGCTTGGTAAGCAGTATTCAACGTGAATGGACAATACTATTAACAAGATTTTAGCCTCTTTTCTTACCTGAGATACTGGCCAGTCCAATCAACTTTACAATTTAACTTGCTGTATCATGAAATGAAATGTTTGGTTACGAATATTCAATAGGCCATTATTTAAGTAGAGAAATGTATTAAAATATTGTTTATTATATTGTTTAGTCTTGTTGAGTGTTTCATTAAGAGCTTGTTTGGGAGATTTTTTGAAAATGATTTTCCTCCAAAATCATCTTCAATCCCACATTTTATGGGACCCATAACTTTTTCCTACTTTTCAAATTTTAACCACATCCTCCAAAAATAAAAAAAAAATAAAAAATAATAATCATTTTCACTCAGAAAAATCTCTCCCAAACAAGCTCGTAGTTTAATAGTCAAGATCTTGAATGAATCGATAGGTTGCAACCTTTCTCATTTTGTATCTTCTCCTAGGCAAAGGAAAAGAAGATAAAAGAACCCCTTAGAATTGCGCTGGGAGAACTAACTAATCTTAGGGATGCGCTGGATGAACTTGCCAGGTTCAAAGAATCAGGCGCAGCGGTGTGACAGAACTCTGTGGTAAGATTACTTCAACAATCTCCAGTTTCCATTGTTTTCCTAGTTTAATCAGTTAGAATTCCCTTTGCCCTGTTTCTATGCTAATGTTTATGCTACTCATGTTATCTTAGTATGTATCGATATTCTGTCAGGTACTGCATAATTTTGGTCTCGGTAGCTGTGAATGTGGCTCCAGATTTCCTGAACTCACTTCCTAGTTAGCGGGAAGATTCTCAGTTTCTTCATCGTAAAATGATGTTTTATATTGTAATAACTAGCTCCTTGTTTCATATTAAGACCAAAATTGTTCATGTTTTTCTACATTTTAGGACAAGAATATCACATGCGTGAGGTCGAAACTATAATAGTACGATGGATGTTTGTTATTGCGAAGAGACATTCTAATTACTTGAGTCGTTTTTTCCCTAGTTTATCTTCAATCTGAGCTCCCTCAATTGTTGGAGCACATTTGCACTGATTCCTATGAACATAATTGTATGTTCTAAATTGTGCTGATGATATTATTGACACGTTTGGTACATTTGTAAGGGACACAATATACAACCCTTTTCTCTGAAAAGTATAGTTTACTGGAATAAGGTCGAGTGCCACTAACTCTTTTAAATAATAAATTTTCATTTAATTCACTTAATACAAACTGGGCACTGACATATTTAATTTAATATATCACTAACTATAAAGATGATTCCACATCACTTCCTACAACTAAAAGGACTAGACAGCAATCAGAGGTAACTTCGAATATAGGAATGATATCTGTGCAGTATACTTCTCATATTCTCCAAAAGCAGTTTGATTCAGAAGAGGGGAAGCTTGATAACCCCACTTAAGAAACCTCTGGTTCACATGAGGAAAATGTAGACTCCCCAAAGAATAACCAATGCAGATACAGTCTTCCTACTTCCCAGACTGAAACCTGGAGAATTAGTAGAGCCATCTGCTACCCCAACAAGAAATCTGCAATCGCCAACTGAAGGATCCAAGAAAGTGACCATCCCGAGCCCATCGAATTCGCAGCTCTGAGGATTCTGTTTTCGGACTTGATAGTAGCTGTTGAATGCATACGAAATATTTCCCTTCGCCCCAATTCCATTGCAGGATCCCCCATAGTTGAGAGTAGTGCAGTCAGCATAACTGCAAGCAATTTTGAAGTGATCGGTTACGCCAGAAAGATCCCGGGATGGATTTGCCACGCACCATCTAGAAGGCAGATACTGAACATCTTTAGCATTCTTTAATAATCCATTCCCGAGGTTTAGCGAGTACTTTGCCTGGCCATCAAAAGAGAAAATGCCCCAGTGTCTCTCGAAGTTCCCAGGAAGTACGCTTTTTGCCCCTTCATCAAAGAGGCTGAAAAGATAAACATCCATAGGGGGTACACCCGGCCTCAATGGGGTTCCTTTGTTGCTAAGAACATGATTCACAAGACCTTGGTTAAAAGCCTTTGCAGCAGACAGATTAGCACTCAAAGCCCCATCAGTTGGCCAACCCACCTCACCTATAACTATGGGCATTTGGCCAAAACCAAGTTTTCCAAGCGCTGCAACTAAAGTGTCAAAATTTCCATCAAAAGCATTGGAGTAAACATTCGGTCCATCCATCACGGAGTGCGTCGTCCCCTCAAAGAATGCATAGTCTTGAGGGAAGTCCGAGCTTCCATAAAGGCTGAGGAAAGGGTAAATATTTACGATGAATGGGGAACCATTGGAATTCAACAAAGTAACAAGCTGTGTCATAATTTGGGTCAGCTCAGGTCGGAAGGCTCCTTGTGATGGCAGAGAAGATTCATAGGCATCGGCATTGCATGGAACAACCAGCTTTACCATGCCTGCAAGATTTGCTTTGGCTAAGGACTGTTGTAAATTCATCATAGCAGGTAGAACATAAGATTGATATTGACCAGAATAACTCGTCAGAAATGGTTCATTTCCTACCGCAACATACCTGGTGATAGCACTTTCGAAAGTCAGTGGCATGAAGATAACATGAAATTTTTATCCACTCAAAACAACAATGCCAATGAATTATTTAAAATGTCTAAGAAAAACGGGAAATGGTCCCCAAAAAAATTTTGGTTTAAAAAATTCCCGAGTTTTTTTTCAATTCAGTGGATTTTTTTTTTCTCATTGTCTGACAAAGAAAATATATTTGTCTGTGCCAAGGAAGCAAAGTTTTTTGCATTCACAAATCTCATTTCGGAGGAAACTTGGCATCAGCAACTGCTGCAAAACTGAGCACTGGGTGCTTGTGCTTCAAGCATTACTCACAGGACCTTACTCTGGCAGGAAGATTCTGAAGTTGGAACTAATCATCTCTCATGTTATCTATTTGTTCCTCAGCAAAATAAGTGTTGAATCCCTTACAAACTAATGCACGTAAAACAGGTCCTTCCACAAAAACATTAATGGTAGAAGACTTGGTAGCATTCTTTTGCACACACACTGCTAAATTCTGACAGGTGTCCAGGATGCTGTTAATGACCAATAACAGCAATAGCTATATTGTTTTTCTATAATCTTCTCTATCCGACGGTGAGAAATTATCTTTTGATTTACCGGCAGCAATAGAACTATTAGTATCAGGTTATCGAATATCAAACTTATTTCATTTTATATTGCTCACATATTGATAAGTCAATTGATAAGTCCAGCCGCATTCTAGCTGCAATTCCAGCTGATTTTTTAATCAGTTTCTTCCTTTGAAATCATTGAAAATCAGCCACAATTTGTTACCAATTTCTTAATAAGAAAGTCTTTCCCATGCAAAAGACAAATTGAAGGCAGTCACCCATTTTGACTCTTCAACAATGAACTATGTGGCAGGTTTTTTGGCTAGAAGTTTATGACAGTTTGTTCCAAAAATCTTCTATAAGTATATGCTACCATAAAAAGAATTTTTATGTCCCATGAGAGGAAGAAAGTAGTGTGTAAACGAGAGGAAAAAAAAATAGAGAGATTGGAGAGAGTTCTTGAGACTTTTTTAGATAGTTTGTAAAACTCTATTGTAAATTATATTCAAGATAAAAATAGAATTATTTTTTCTCTTTATCTTCTCCTTTCGTGATCGGAGAATCACAACAAGTGGTATCAGAGCGAGGTTTATCAATTGGCCCTTGTAGTTTTTTTATACAACTTCGTTTTTAATAAAGCGTTTACAAGCCAAGATGTCAATGGAAGAATCTTCATTAGGAGCTACGATCAAGCTCGCTGCCACCAATTACACACTGTGGAGGCCTCGGATGGAAGACTTCCTTAGTTGTAAGGATTTGTATAACCCCCTAGAAACTAAAGGTGTAAACCCCGATTCTATCAAGGAGACAGAGTGGAAGAAGCTAAATAGGAAACTATCGGTCAAATTCGACAATGGATTGACCATAGTGTCTTTCACCATGTGGCACACGAGACAGATGCATATGCCCTCTGGAAAATTCTGGAGGACATGTACCAAGCCAAGATCGCTCGGAACAAAGTCCTGTTGATGAGGCGTTAGGTGAATCTGAAGTTAAAGAGTGGAACTTCAGTCGCTGAGCACACCAGTGAATTTCAGAGCTTGGTGAACCAATTGTCATCTATGGAGATGCCGCTTGGGGATGAAACGCAAGCCTTACTACTTTTAAGTTCTCTTCTTGATAGTTGGGAGACACTAGTAATATCTCTCGGCAACTCAGCCCAACGGCAAACTTACCATATCTATGGTCAAGGATACCCTATTTAATGAAGAGGCCAAGAGAAATGACGTCGACACGACCAGTCACATGCCCTTGTCACAGAGAACCGGGGAAGACAGCAAGGAAGTGTTCGAGGCAGGGAGAGAGGCAGAAGCAAAAGTAGGGGCAGATACATAGATGGAAGGAAGCCTACTTACAAGTGTTACTATTGTGGTATGGCGGACCACTTGAAGAAGAACTACAGAAAATTGCTACGAGAGCAAGGCCACAACAGTTTGCAACCGAAAAATAAGGAAGAAGAGACACTAGTCACTATTTCTGGGAAGGTGACTATTTGCTCCATCTATGAGGAGACATGTTTTCATGTCTCAAACAAAGATATTGAGTGGGCAATAGACACAGCAGCATCTTACCACGCCACTCCACATAGAGATTTCTTCACAACATACAAAACTAGCAACTTTGGTACGGTGAAGATGGGAAATACCAGTTCTTCTAAGATCGAGCAAATTGGTGATGTTTAGATACAAACGAACCTCGGGTGTAAAATAACCCTGAAAGATGTTCGGCATGTACCTAATCTTCGGCTAAATCTACTTTCGGGGATAGCCCTTAACAAACAGGGCTATGTCAATCACTTTAGCAATGACACATGGAAAATGATGAAAGGCTCCATGATTGTCGCTTGAGGACATATATGTGGCACTTTATACAAGACTCATGTAAAAATGCATATGGATAGCCTCAACATAGTAGAACGTGAAGCTTCGCAAAATTTGTGGCACCAGAGACTTGGTCACATGAGTGAGAAGGGATTGTCTACTTTAACAAAAAAGGAGCTAATCACGGTTGCTAAGGAAGCTGTGCTGGATCCTTGTAGTCACTGTTTATTTGGTAAGCAACATAGAGTCTCCTTCAATTTCTCTTCAACAAGACAATCAGAGTTACTCAATCTGGTACACTCCGATATTTGTGGTCCCTTGGAGGTTGAATCACTATGCGGTAATAAGTATTTTTTAACATTCATTGATGACGCTTCTTGAAAGGTGTGGGTATATTTCTTGAAGACAAAGGACCAACTATTTGAATACTTCAAATCATTTCATGCCATGGTAGAGCGTGAAACGGGAAAGAAGCTGAAGTGTCTTCGCACAAATAATGGAGGCGAGTACACTTCCAAAGAGTTTGATGCCCATTGCAAAAGATACGACATTCGACATGAGAAGACAGTCCCACGCACCCCACAGCATAATGGAGTCGCCGAGAGGATGAATCGAACGATCATGGAAAAAGTCAGAAGCATGATACGTATGGCTAAGCTGCCAAAGCCATTTTGGGGAGAAGTTATTCGAACCACCTATTACCTAATCAACAAATCACCATCAATACCGTTGAATTTTGAAACTCCGGAGAAAGTATGGTCTAGTAAATATTCCTTCTACTCTCACCTGAGAGTATTTGACTGTTTAGCCTTTGCACATATATCCAAGGAGCTAAGATAAAAGCTAGATTCAAGGTCCACTCCATGCATCTTTATAGTCTATGGAGATGAGGAATTTGGATACGGATTATGGGACCCAAAAACAAAGAAGGTCATCAAAAGTAGGGACGTAGTATTCCGTGAAAACCAGACATTGGAAGACATCGAAAAGCCCACTATATCTCCTAATTCCAATTTTGGTGCCCAGAAAATTGCTCCAGATCTAGCACCAGTACAATTCACCATAGTTATGACGATGTACATGAGGAAATGCCGGAAGCAGAACAGGAGAATGAAGAAGAGGATATTAATCAGAGGGAGTCACAATCTTCTTCACCAGAAATTGTCGGACCATCACATCAACCACATGATAATGCACCTCCTGAAATCAACGATCCACAGGTAAGAAGATTTGAACGAGGATGGATTCCATCAACGATATATCCAAAATTAGAGGACCTTTTGCTTACTAACGAAGGAGAGCCGGAGAGCTTTCAGGAAGCACAAACTCAAGTGGACAAAGACAAGTGGATACAAGCATTGCAGGATGAGATGAAGTCACTAAAGAAGAATCAAACATACAAGTTAGTTTAACTTACGAAGGGAAAGAAGGCATTAAGGAATAAGTAGGTTTTCAAGCTCAAGAAAGATGGCAGCCGAAATATGATAAAACATAAAGCTCGTTTGGTAGTCAAAGGATTTCTTCAGAAGAAGAGAATTGACTTTGACGAGATTTTTTCACCTGTTGTAAAGATGGCCTCAATTCGAGTTATCCTTGAATCAATAGCCAGTTGGAATCTAGAGCCTGAACAGATGGATGTCAAGATAGCATTTCTTCATGGTAATTTATATGAAGCAGCCAGAAGGTTTTGAAGTTTCAAGCAAAGAGAACTTCGTTTGCAAATTGAAAAAAAAGCTTATATGGCCTTAAACAAGCACCAAGGCAGTGGTACGAAAAGTTTGACTCGTTCATGGTGAACCAATGCTACAAAAGAACTATTGCAGATCAATGTGTTTACATTCAGAGGTTTCTAGATGGCAATTTCGTTGCTCTTCTATTGTATGTAGACGACATGTTGATCGTTGGACAAGATGCAACAAAAATCAGCCAGCTAAAAAAGGAACTCTCCAAGTCCTTTGACATGAAAGACTTAGACCCAGCTCAACAAATTTTGGGAATGCACATAACTCGAGATAGAAAGAATAAAAGGTTGTGGCTATCTCAAGAAAAGTATATTGAACGAGTTATCAAGAGATTCAACATGCATAATGTCAAACCTGTCAGCATTCCATTGGCCAACCACTTCAAATTGAGCAAAAATTCATGCCCCTCATCCAAGAAAGAGAAAGAGAGATGTTATTGATACCTTATTCTTGAGCAGTTGGAAGCCTAATGTATGCCATAGTATGTACAAGGCCAGATATTGTCCATGTAGTAGGCATGATGAGTTGTTTTCTCTCTAATCCTAGAAAGGAACATTGGGAAGCAGTTAAGTGAATTCTCAGGTACCTTAAAGATACATCAAAGATATATCTGTGCTATGGGGGAGCTGATCCAATCTTGGAAGGTTATACGGATTCAGGTATGGCTGGAGATCTTGATAATATAAAATCTACTTCATAATTTCTCTAGACTTTTGCAGGGTGAGCTGTTTCATGGTAGTCAAGATTACAAAAGTGTGTTGCTTTATCTACAACAGAAGCAGAATATATTGCAGCAACGAAAGCAGGTAAAGGAATGTTGTGATTAAAGCGATTTCTCCAATAATTAGGGATCAAGTAAAAGGATTATAAAATACATTGTGACAGTCATAGTGCTCTTGACTTAAGTAAGAATTCAATGTACCATTCTCGGACAAAGCACATCGACATCTGCTATCATTGGATAAGAGAAGTGATGGATCAACAACTATTGAATGTTGAAACTAGTAAAGATTCACACAAATGAGAATCCAGCAAATATGTTAACAAAGGTGGTTCCAAGAGAAAAGTTAGAGCTATGCAGAGACATAGCTGTGATGGTTGTCAAATAACAATTGATTTAAATGCGACTGGAGGGGGAGAATTGATAAGTCCAGTCGCATTCCACCTACAATTCCAGCTGATTTTTTAATCAATTTCTTCCTTTTGAAGTCATTGAAAATCAGCAACAATTTGTTACCAATTTCTTAATGAGCAAGTTTTTCCCATACAAAAGACAAATTGAAGGCAGCCACCCATTTTGATTCTTCAACAATAAACTATGTGGCAGGTTTTTTGGCTAGAAATTTATGACGATTTGTAGCCAAAATTTTTCTATAAATATATGCTACTATAAAGAGAATTTTATGTCCCATGAGAGGAAGAAAGTAGTGTGTAAAAGAGAGAAAAAAAATAGAAAGATTGGAGAGAGTTCGTGAGAGGTTTTTTTTTTTCAGAGTTTGTATACTCTATTGTAAATTCTATTCAAGCTAGAAATATAATTATTTTTCCTCTTTTATCTTCTCCTTTTATGATCGGAAAATCACAACACATATGACTCTGCTAGGTTCTTTATCATCTGTAACAGTTCTTTACTTGGATTTTGTCTCTTCTAATTAATTTATAACTCAGCACATATTTAGCTAATTGCAGACTTGAAGAACGAAGGGAGAGAGAAGTCCTTCAAGAGGATTCTGAAATTTCTCAGGAATTGAAAAGCCGTACAAATGAATAGCAATTACTTAATGCAGTACACAAAATCTCAATTTATACACAGCCTAAACTACACAGAAAAAATCCTATCTTCAATCAAATTACAACATGCCATTGGATGAGGTGGAGAACAGCTGGCAGTGAGCTGTCCTACAATCTGAGTTGATTGTCACTATTCGACAGTAATCCTACTATTGGACGCTCCCCTTCACTTGGAGTTGGTCTTCAAAGTTCTAGATTACTACTCTGAATACATGATGCTTACCTATCCAAAGCTTAGTTCTGTCTAATCAAAGTCATTGTTGATGGATCATATTGATAAAAATCTTATGCTACATCTTTCACTCAAAGATCCAAATTACGAATTGTCTTGACAATAGCCAACTGCAAAGTGCTATCCCAATTGGCAATGACTAACATAAGACAAGAATTTTGACTTGTTGGAGCTCAAACAAACCAAATGCAAACATTCGTCTCATCCTCAACTTCTCAAGGTTATGCAAAGGAAGCTTTATTTCTTAAGAACTCTGCTCTAGACTTCAGCGACCTCTCTGCAGTGGACTCTAATTCAGCAGCAAAGCAATTAAGTGTTTCAGGAATGCAAATTAGTTAACTAAGTGAAAGTTTTCACCAACATCCAACGTCGACAAGGGCTATGCAGACTTCTTTTATAACCACATTCAATTGAACCATCACAACCCACAAATCTTACACCTAAATGCACCTCATTGCATTCTTCGAGGATATCAACGAACCCATCATACAATGGTACACCAACAGACGCTGTTTTGAGGCAAGTACAAGTAGGGCTCTACCAAATCGTAACTTATATAGCTCTATGCATTAGAATATCCTTCATGTTCAAAAGTTCCCTCGTTATTGTAAAAAAAATCATTGCTTTTCATATCAAGCTCCGTAAAGCACAGTAACAGGAGCCGTTTCATGACTGTGAAGCATGTGAAATTTATCTCCTCCATAACATCAATGACATTATATAGTGCAACTTGATTGATAGACAGTGTAAAGATACTTCAACTGTTTTTCCACCCATACGAGTTCTGCATTTTTTTTTTCAATAAATTATTTGATTATCACACATAATCCGAAGTAAATGAATGCAAAATTCGTAGTCTGTTGAACTTCATATTCATCAAGCAAATTATTATTATTATTATTATTTTATTTTATTTTTTTTGTATTTTTGCCCCAATTACATTCGGAATTCTTTAACCCAAAAATTAGAAAATAATAAACTTGATACTTTAAAATGTAGTATTCCATAGGTTAAAATCTACCACTACCTTTCCTCACTCCTTCCATCAACAAACAATCGCAAAAGTAGTAACTATACATTCTTGAGAAAACTTAAGACCGTAAACAATTTTGAACCACCTCACTTAAAATCTTAAGAGAGGTAGTGTGTTTTCTCTTCATCACGCTGAGGGTGCAAGGAAGATCTATTGATGATAATTTTATCATAAAAGGACAATGGCAAAACTTGAATCCGGTCTTTTTCATAATAAACCAACTCATCCCAAAGCTTAAGCTTTCAAAGAGGCTAAGTGTATAATCTAAATCTTTTCTTCAACAAACAAGATAACAATCCAAACTCTAAAACCCCAAAAATGAATAAAGCATAGTAAAGTATGTAGACATTAACCAGAGAGAGAGAGAGAGAGAGAGATGTACTTGATGTTAACACCGCCTTTAACCATGTATCTAGAGACATTCTGAGATACCCACAAATCAGAAGCGGCGGAGGAGGAGCTGAGCGCCGCCAGCATGTCATTGGTAATCCCAACCATGACCTCAATCCCACTCCCCATCAAAGCCTTAAGCGAATGTGGGTCTGCATCAAAAAGCTTCACTTTTGAAATCTTGTTGCCCTTCAACAGATTCACCACAGTCTCCGGCGACAGTCTGTGGACGGACAACGTGCCCCAGTTTACCCCTATCCCTGATTCCACCACAACCACGGCGGAGCTACACAACAAGAATGCTAAAATGCTTGGAAAAAGGGTACAGCTTGCCATCATTAATCAGTCCCCTTTAATTAAGACTATTCATTCAATCAAGAACTTGTCCGAAAGTGTCTGATAAATGTTTCTTGTCTCAAAGCGATGGAATTGCGAGAGGAGTAAGTGAAGTGACCGTAATGCTTGGAAGGTAAAGTGCAAATCTAAAGAATACAGTTACAGAATTAAAATATCATGGCAGTTAAAAATTGATTTGAAATAGGAAACTTTAACGCAAAATACTTGTACATCAAAATGATATTATATAAATAAAATGACATGGAGATGTCAAGAGAAAAGATTGGATAAAAAATTAATTTTTTTTTAAACTAACAAATGATATAAGACGTGTAGTATTATGTAATCAATTATATAAACTTAATATACATGTAACAATATTTTGCCAAGAAATAGTTGGTTGGATTTTTAATTTTGATTTTTATGTATCTCGAGAGCAAAAGTACGTTACCGAGTTAAGCTTAAAAAATAAAAATGCATAAATTAAATTTATTTTTAAACTTTATCAAACCATATTCAAGTAATTTATATTGAAATTTTAAACTTTATAAAACTAGAAAATTAATAATGCGAAAAATCTCTTAATTGTTTGAAAATGAATTTTTATTATTGGATCTTGATTCCGAATCTTGAATATTGCAGATTTAACTTCTCTTAATGTTCAACTTCTCTTAATCAAGAATTTTGCCTTATTTGATTCTTTAATCCTTGTTATTGATTTTATTTTTTAATCCATAGTTTTGATTATTGAATTTATTCTTCTTGATTATTGATTATGGATTTTGATCTTTCTCTTCAATATGCACTTTGTCTCGTATTCTTGTGTTGAAGTGATGACACAAAGAATGAAAAGTTACATATGAAGTAAAGATTATAACCCTATATATAGTCACCATATATATTTCAGTCATCATGAAATATAAGGAATCCGATCTCTACACATATAATCCGATCAACATTTTATTTAGATATCCTAAGCCCAACAACTTAATTTGTTGTTAGATCACTTTAATTTTAAGCTTAAGTTTAAGATAGCCTTATACACAATTAATTATTATATAAGTAGGCCACATGACAAATTAAAATTTTTTCAATAATTTTTTTATAAATATAATTTTCAAAGTCACATTTTTATATTAAAAGAATTTATATTTTAAAAAGCCTAAAAAATAATCTTTTTACGCACAAAAATATCCGTGACATTGTAAAATGGGCAAATTATTTAGATTACTCTATTAGTTCTTGTTTGATGTTGATTTTGATTTATTTAGAGTGATATTGTTAGATTATGTGTTGTTAAAAAGTATACAGAAAGGGTCCAAGTACAAAATTATATTATTGAAAGAATGTATGATTGAATATGAGTTTGGCCAAAATATATATATATACATTGGAAAAATTCAAAATCAGATAAGGAGTTAATCTTGTATAGTATTGTGCATAAAATGTACAACATTTGTTATAGGACGTTTAAATAGAGAATATTTTAATTAGTTTATTCAAGATTTCTCTTATTGTTTTGGATATGTATTGAAGAGATGAAAATCACTTGCCACATGATTAAATTTAAAGGGCTCATTTGGCACAGATCTGTTTTATTCTTATAGAAAAGTTTTTTGATAAAATTCTCTAATAACAACTTTTTAAAAAAAATATTTTATCTACACAAAGTATTTCAAAAAAGAGTACTTAGATATGTTCAGCCAAACGGCCCTCAATAGAACATAAAAAAAATTAGGAACGAAAACTAATCCTCGTTGTTTTAAGTAAAAGAGATAAAGGAGCTCCCGGGGCATAGTCCAGTGGTGCAAAGGACAGAAGTAAGGTTATCTCACGCCTTGCTCACAGTTGCAGTGTGAGAGTTCGATTCTTGAGATATGGAATTGAACTCCTTATCGGTGCAGTGTACATGCAGTTCTTGTTTTCTGGCCTGCTGGGACACATCTCACGATTTACTTCTCTCACAAAACTCTAGAGGCGGGGCGGTGGGGATCCTCAAGATTGGGGTTCAACTTTTTTTTTTTTTTTTTTTTAAAAGTAAAAGAGGTAAAGGAAAAGAGGGATTAGGTCAAAGTAAAATAATCTTGGAAGATTAAAGATGAAGTATTCATAATTAAAAGGAAGAGTATGTGATGGACCCACGAAGACATGCGCCAAATTTAAGCAAGTAATGTGTCAATCAATCAAGAAAACAAGACACCTCGAAGAAAATAATCAGCAGATAATCATACTACTAAAGAAATGCTAACCATCAACCTTTCCTTTTTGTTTTTTAATATCACAATAATTTTGCCATTAATGGCTGGTGCCTCACTTCAAATGTTTTGCTGACGAGTTTGCATATTTAAACACACTATTTTCGACAATAAGGCAGGCTCACTATAATGGGCGAGCTCTTCTTCTTGGGTTGGACCTCCTATATTTTAATTTGGGAAAATTTCATATGTAACACTTTAAGTGTACACATTTCTAAATAAAGAAAATAAGTTTCAAATTTTAAAAATCAGATCTTTATTAAAATTAATTTATGATTTAATTAATTAATTATTTATTTTATTAATTAAATGTATTTAGGTCACAGATATATAAAATTTGGTCACAAATGAATAATTTAATTAGTCACTTATTATTTTTTGGTCACAAATTATTTTACGATCATAATTCAAAAATTTTGAAGGTCACAATTTGTTCATTGGTTACAAATCAGAAAATTATTTAGTCACGAATTAATTTTTATTCACAACTTATTAAATTGTTGGTCACAACTAATTTCTCAGTCACAAATCAAAAATTTTGTAAGTCACATATTATTTTCGGTCACGAATCAAAAAATTTATAGGTCACAAATTTTTCATTGGTCACATAATCAAAATTTTTATTGGTCACAACTCATTTATTCTTTACAAATTATTAGATTAATTGGTCACGATTAATTTTTCGATCACAAGTTAATTATTTGTGAGTCACGATTTCAATTGTCAGGTCACATATTACAAATTAATCAATTATCAGTCATAATCAACCAAATAATTAGTCACAAGCATCCAACCCAATCTCATCCCACCCACGACTACCACAACCACCATCACTATCACCATTACCACCCCCAGACCATGCAAAACCACAACCGCCATCACTATTGAATTGCCACTACCACCGCAATGCCCGTGCCACCACCGAACCGTCACCCAATCAAAATATTTGATTCACCAGAAAAATATGGCAGTGTGCGTTTAGATAGTAGGAAACAACAAACAGTATTGATATTCAAAATTGTTATAGATTTTAAACATTTTCTGACACGACCCGTCCCGATAACCCTAATGGATCCGACACGTGTCGTGCGCCGATGGTAGATGCCAGCGAAGTGCCGGACCCACCACAAATGCAAACTTGACATGCTTTGACTGTTATAATTTTATAAAAATTTCGGCAGAGTTCCCTCTGAAAAATGGACTAAAACCACCCGAAAATAAAATCAAATATCACAAACATATACATATAGTTTAAAATAGGGTACACCGACCCCTCAAAATATCAACTATTCAAATACAACACTGGTAATTCGACTTTTGCAACAATTTCTGAACCACAGTACCCAAAATGCATAATATATATACAAAACATAGCAATCCCAACACATTGAACTAATTTATGACCAAAAGAGGTGTCTATTCCAAAATATGAACTATTAAACTGAAAAGATAATTCATACAATGCTTGACAATCTATGGCTCAACTTGATAGATCAATTGGCCCAATAGTTTTCAACTTAGCTACTATCTGATACGAGAAATAATGATAAAAATGTGAGCCTATAACTCAGTGAGTGGATATTTGTAAAAATATAATTTTCCATTCATAAAATCTTTCTGAAAATCGACAAGAGCATAAAATTTCTTTTCAAAGATATATAAACTAAAATATTTATTCTTTAAACTGAATAAGCTGAATTCTGTAGCTTAAAATCTGATGATACTATCAAAACTAAAATATGCTATAATCATAAACATCTTTATTCTGTATACTGCATTTCTAAAATCTGATAAGCTATGTAATACTGAAACATCACACCAAAAATGTACCCGGAATAACTATACTCATGAATTGATTAATCTCGATATACATAGCAAGGTTATTCAATTCTGAAATTCTGGTCGTACGCGCATAGAGTTATAAAATGGTCATACACTATAGAAACACATTCACAATAGTGCAGAGCGCGTAAAATCACTATACTGATCATACGCAGTGGAAACACATTCACACCAGCTCAGAGTGGGTAAAATAACCATATGAAGTCATACGCTGTGGAAACACATTCCCACTAGTGCAGACGAGCGTAAAATCACTTGAGTACTTTCTGGTGGTTTTAAAATAACTTTGAATATATTGAAATATTTAATACTAAAATAACATGCCAATAAAATGATTTACTAAATTGAATATAACTTTTAAAAACAACTGGTTATAAATCAACTTTATTCTGAAAATCGTATTGTCAAATCAACTGTATGAATTAATAAATTTTTTGAGTTAATAAAAATAAAATAATACTAATTTCTGAAAAATAAGCTTATCCACTCACATAATACAAACTGAACCTAAAATGGTCGATAAGCTCTTCCAATCTCCTCGTCACCACCTGGAATATATAACAAGATGACTAATCAACCACTATTAAATTAAGAAACTTTAAGATCTACTTCTATAATACTTAACTAAAATTGGTCGATGCTCGAATAAATTTCTCAAATATTCTTTTGATCAATTGGAGCTAATCCCACTTTCTAATCCCTTTTCTAATAACTAATTCATCAACAAAACATTCTTCCCAACTTTAAAACTAATTTTACTCTCCAATCAAGTGAAACTAGTAACCACAATTCCACCCATTTAATATACATTTTGTTCATAAAATCAACTCCCAAGTGAAATATTCCATTTATATAATCATTTCCACAATTAATTAATCAAAATCCCAAAATCGGATTCTAGGGTTTTCCCCCAAAAAATTGACATCTCCTTACTTTAATGTGGATAGAAATTCAAGAATCAATAACTTGAGCTCCAAGTAGTATTCATCTCAAAAAAATCTGAAAATTTCGAGCCAAAATAAAACCCTAGAATTTTAACATAATTCATACTTTATCACTTGAAACAAATGGAAAAATTCAACCCAAGCTTGAA